AACAAGCTTTAATAGTGGTGGTTGAAGGGCACGTGTTCGATCCCACCGTTAGTGATTTTAAAAAAAATCATGACATTTAAATGAAGCAATTCATGCACAGGAACACACCTTGTAAATCACAAGAGGGTAAATAAACGCACGGAATATTATGTGCTGATGCTCAACTTAACACTGAACAACTTTGGTTGGGGGAAGAGGCGGTTCGACGTAGGGTAAAAACAATTCTAGGCCAGAGTCCTGGCAAAGGGGAGCTTTTTCTCCCCTGTGGGGGTAGAACTCTGTCTCTCTCACTGCCATTGAGTGGATTTCAGTGCAGAGCCACCCTATAGGACAAGGTAGAACTTCCTCTATGGGTTTCCCAGACAGCAACTGTTTAAGGAAGTAAAAAGCCCCATCTGTCTCCCACGGAGCGGCCATTGGTTTCGAACTGTGGACCTTGTGGATTGCAGCCTAACGTGTTGGGGGTAGGTTTAGTTCCCTCCCATCCCCCCAGAAGGAGACGGTGGTTGACCAGTCCTCATTCAGTAGAAGAGCGGTTAGGTTTTATAGTGGGTGCTGTATTGGCACAGCAGAACATTAACAAAAACAATGAAGGTCAATAAAGACGTTTCATTGGTTGACTCAGATAATGAGCCCTAATTATCTTGAGAAAAGTTTACTTCTTGGAGAGAGGATTTATAGGTGGTGACATATTTCACCCATCGAATCTTAAAAAAATATATATTTAAAAATAAAAAGATATCATACTTTCATGACCTAAGAGACTGCAAAAATGCTAGGTTTGTGGTAAATAAGCCTCCTTTTTAGATTCTACTGCTTTGTAAAACTCTCTTCCTTTGTTCTGTTTGCCTGAACACTCCTAGCAGTGTTTTGGAAACCTGCAGTTATCTAAATTCCCATCAGGTGACATTGTTTAATCTAACATTCCCTCTTTCATGTATCAAAATAGCTGGCTCTAAGGACACACCACTGATATGCTTTGAACTTTCTCTCCAGCAGTTGGGAGGGAGTTTCCATGCTCTGTTTCCTACGATGTTTTCCGGCTCCCCCCCCCAACCTCCCATGGGTCCCTAAAGGTCTCTCTCTGGCTGGTCTCTTCTCCACATGTGTAAAAGATACTTCAAATTAGACTTTTTGTGTGTGTGGTATGAAAGTTTAGCTCTCTAGTATTGAGAGGAAAAGACCACTACTTTCAAATCATGACTACACCGATGTCACTATATGTGTGCTGATTTCAACAGCAGGTGGAAATTATGAACACTCCCATTAATATCAAGGAACACCGCTGGGGAAGTTAGGTAGATGTTGGATGGCTAATCGCAAGGTGACCCGTCCAAACACACCCACCAGTTGGAGGGAGCAAGACTGAAGTTATCTGCTCGCGTAAAGATGTATAGTCTCAGATACCCTATATAGGGTTGCCATTAGTTGGAATTGACTTGAGGGAAATATTTTAAAAATTTATCATTAATATGACATGCAAGAGAATTCAAAATGAGTTGTAGCAGTACATCAACAGGGACCTGCCTGAAATTCTTATGGGATTCAGCAGAGGATACGGAATGAGAGAAAACATTGCTGACAACAGATGAACCTTAGCTGAAATAGAGAACATCAGAAACATCTTTACTTGTATTTTAGTGACCATGTAGAGACATTTAACTGTGTGGATCATAACAAATTCTAGATACCAGTTCAAAGAATGGGAATTCCAAAACTCTTCTAATTGTGCTCATGCAGAATCTCTACATGGCCTTATGACTGACAACCAGGAAAGGTATGTATCAAGGCTGTATCCTTTCACCATACCAATTCAATTTATGCTGTGCAAATAATCTGTGATGCTAGAGACGACTGCGGTATTGGTTTTGGAGTAAGACAGTGATATCCTCATGTGCGGATGGCACAACCTTCCCTGCTGAAAGGGAAGAGAACTTGAAGCGCTTACTGATGGAGACCAAAGACTATAGCCTTCCGCATTGATTGTAACAGTGTAAAGAACACAAAATTCCTTGCCATTGGACCAGTAGACAACATATAATAAATGGAGAAAAGATCCAAGGAGTCAGGGATTTCACTTTACTTAGATCCACAATCAAGGCCCAAGGAAGTGGCAGTTCAGAAAGCAAAAGTATAGCATTGGGTCAATCTCCTACAAAAGACCACTTTTTCCTAAAAGAGTTTTATTGGCATATACTGTAATTCACTTATCATACCAAGTTTTCTTGAAAGTGTTTTTTTTTTTTTAAAGCACAGGTTTCTGGAGGCAGAGCCATGCCTTAGTCTATATCCTCCATGGTCTTATGTGCATGGGCGAGCTGGACCAGGAATCAGGAACCTCGAAGAGTTGATGCTGTTGGAACAGAGTATTGAATAGATCCTGGGCGGCCAGAAGAAAGAACCAATCTGTCCTGGAAGAGCAGCCAGAAGGATCCTTGGAAACTAGGTGGTGAGACTTGGCCTCAGGTATTATAGATTTATCATTGGTGGGATGCGGGGGCAGGGAACCAATCCCTGGAGGACATCCCGTTTGGTGAGGCCCATGAGAGAGGGAGACGAGTGGTGAAGTGACAGTGGCCTCACACAGCAAGGATTGTGGGCATGGTGCAGGGGTTTGTTTGTTGTGTGGCGAGCAAAAAGTTGGAACCCCTACCCACAGCAACACCCAGTTCCAAAACCTATGACCAAAGTAAACACAGAAGTCCTCACTTTAAAAAGCGGCAAACATGATTTTACTGGGAAGGCAATAATAATGTAAACAACAACAACAACAACAACAAGGTTTCTTTTAAGCTCAATCAAGAAAGTCCAGTGTAAACTTCTATTTGTCCTGGGTTTATACAGAGGCCTAGGTAGCACCCCCCCCTCCTGCAGGAACCCTAGAGGAACACCACATTTGCTTTAAAGACCCAGCCGCCTCCCTCTTCCAAATAACACGTTGCATCGCACTCCATTCCTGTATCACATTGCCACATTATCACTCATCTAAGTTATACTTTATAAGATGCCTGGTCGTGCTACCCACATGCCCAAAGTACACAGAATGGATACACTTCTACCATCGGGGCTGCCATAGAGGTACCTATTTAGTAAACAGTTAGTTACATGATTTTTTGTGAAATGAGAACGGATGGACCCAATCTTTCAACTAGACTCACCAGACTTAAATACCACCATATGTTTGATTCGCAGTTCATTTGGGCATAAGCACTTTGTGTTTAGTATCAAGAAACCTTTCCTTGCTTGTGTGTTTCCTCTACATATCCCGTGCTCTGGATTACATTTATTTAAAAAGCGCTTGCTACATATAAAGCACCTTTCCAGGCACGCTTCTGAGAAACATGTATTTATGCCCACAAAGGTGTGTACGGCTCTTTCCGCAAACAAATGCCCATATGATGCCTCCCCCTCCCCCCCAAGTTCACGGGCGGCTCCACGAGGGCAGTGGCGGGAGCGCCCCACCCCCACCCGGGCCT